CACCATATCCCTGGCAACACTTATCACTTTTTATATTTTTAATCTTTGCCATTCTGACAGGGGTTAGGTGGTTTTTATCTTCATCCCTTTTATGATGAGGGATATTGAGCATTTCCTCATGTCTTCATCCCTTTTATGATGAGAGATATTGAGCATTTCCTCATGTGCTTTTTGGCTGTTTGTATGTATTCCCTAGAGAGATTTTTGTTCAGCTCATTTTCCCAACTTTTAATTGGGTTAATCATTTTTTTTCGCATAAGGCACTTGAGTTTCCTGTGTATTCTGATTATCAGTCCCTTGTCTGAGGTATATTTAACAAAAATATTTTCCCATTCTGAGGGTTGTCGATTCACACTTGTTACTGTGTCCTTTGCTGTGCAGAAACTTCTTAGTCTGGTATAACCCCACTTGTCTATTTTAGGGGTTATTGCCTATGCTTTAGGAGTCTTATTTAAGAATTCTTTGCCTACTCCATTGTCTTCCAGAGTTTCTCCAGAATTTTCCACTAGTAGTTTTACTGCTTGAGGTCTTAGGTTCAGATCCTTGATCCATTTTTAGTTGATTTTTGCTAATAGACAAAGATGGGGGTTCAGTTTCATCTTTCTGTAGGTGGATACCCAGTTTTTCGAGCACCATTTAGTAAAGAGGTTTTCCTTTTTTCAATGGATTGACTGATATTCTTTGTCAAAAATAAGTTGGCTATAAGCTTTGGGGATTATTTCTAGGGTCTCTATTCTATTCCATTATTCCACATGTCTGTTTTTATGCCAATACCATGCTGTTTTGATGACCACAGCTTTATAGTATATCTTGGGATCAGGGAGTGATATTCTTCCTTCCCCATTCTTCTTGTGTAGGATTGCTTTTGCAAAACAAGATATTTTATGATTCCAGATGAATTTTATGATTGTCTTTTCTAGATCTGTGAAAAATATTTCTGTATTTTGATTGGAATTGCATTAAACATGTAGATAAATTTGGGTAGAATTGCCATTTTGATTATGTTAATTCTTCCAATCCAGGAACATGGGATATCCTTCCACTTTTTTGTGTTACTTTCAGCATCTTTTTAAGATTTTCATAGTTTTCTTTATAAAGGTCTTTGACTTTCTTAGTTAGGTTTATCCCTAGGTATCTTATACATCTTGTGGCTATGGTGAAAGGGATTCCTTTCTTCAGCTCTACTTCGTTCAACTTGTTATTCATATATAGAAATGCTATAGATTTTTGGATGTTGATTTTGTATCCTGCCAGTACTGTATTCACTTATTACTTCCAGAAGTTTTTTCATGGATACCTTTGGGTCTTCTAAGTATACCATCATGTCATCTGTGAATAAAGATATTTTCAACTCTTCTTTGCCTATTTGAGTGCCTTTTATATTGTTCTCTTCTCTGATTGCATTCGCTAAGACTTCCAGTACTATATTAAAGAGCAGTAAAGAAAGTGGGCAGCCTTGCCTAGTACCCGTTTCTAGTGGAAAAGCTTTTAGCTTTTCCCCATTCAGTATAATGTTAGCTGTAGGTTTTCCATTGATGGCTTTTATTGTGTTGAGAAATGACCATTCTATACCAATCTTATTGAGGGTCTTAATTATAAAAGGATGTTAAATTTTATCATATGCTTTCTCCACATCAATTGAGATGGTCATATGGTTTTTATATTTCTTTTTGTTAATGTGGTGTATTACATTTATGATCTTGCGTATGTTGAACCACCCTTGCATCACTGAGATAAAGCCTATCTGGTCGTGATGAAGAATCTTTGTTATATGTTGTTGGACACGATTTGTGAGTATCTTGTTGAGAATTTTTGCATATATATTCATCAATGATATTGGTCTGTAGTTTTCCTTTTTTGTCATGTCCTTATCCGTTTTGGGGATGAGGATGATGGAGGCTCTATTAAATGAATTTGGAAGGTTCTCTTCCTTTTGAATCTTTAGAAATAATTTTAGTAGGCTGGGGATTAACTCTTCCTTAAAAGTTTTGTAGAATTCAGAAGTGAAGCCATCTGGACCTGGGCTTTTCTTTGTCAGGAGGTTATTTATTACTGATTTAATATCCTGGCTTGTTATGGGTCTATTCAGGTTCTCTATGTCCTCCTGATTCAATCTTGGTAGATTATATGCATTCAGGAATTAGTCCATCACCTCCAAGTTATCTTCTTTGTTGGCATATAGTCGCTCTTAGTATCCTCTAATGATATTTTGTATTTCTACTATGTCTGTTGTAATATTGCCTTTTTCATCATGTATTTGATTTTTCTGGTTTCTTTCTTTCTTCTTCTTGACCAGTCTAGCCAATGGTGTGTCGATCTTGTTAATCTTTTCAAAGAATCAGATTTTGCTTTAATTTATTTTCTGTATGGTTCATTAATCTTCTATTTAATTTATTTTTGCTCAAACCTTTATTATTTCTCTTCACCTGGCATTTTTGGGGTTTGTTTATTGTTGTTTTTTCCAATTCCCTTAGGCATGATGTTAGTATATCTATTTGCCATATTTCCATCTTTTTCTTATGCGCACTAATTGTTATGAATTTCCTTCTTATGACTGCTTTTGCTGTGTCCCATAGATTATGAATATTTGTGTACTCATTATCATTTGTTTCCATACATTTTTTCATTTCAGCCTTAATTTCTTCAATAGTTAAGAAGTCATTCAGGAGTAGGTTGTTCAGTTTCCATGTGTTTGTGTATTTTCGGGGTGTTTCTTGAAATTAATCTTGAGTTTAATTCCATAATGGTCAAAGAAGATCCTGGATACAATTTCTATGCCTTTGAATCTGTAAAGGCTTGATTTGTGTCCTAACATATGATCAATCTTTGAAAAGGTGCCATGCTGGTGTGAGAAAAATGTATATGTTGTGTACATGAGGTGGAAAGTTCTATAGATATCTTTCAAGCCCATTTGATTTATAGTATCATTTAGGTCCTGTATCTCTCTATTTCTTGTCTGCCTAGAAGATCTGTCTAAAAGAGATAATGAGGTGTTGAAATGTCCAACAATTATAGTATTTCTTCCTATTTCTCCTTTTAGCTCCAGTAGTCTTTCCTTCACATATTTAGGTCCCCCTGAGTTGAGTGCATAGATATTTATAAGCGTTATGTCTTCTTGCTGGATTACCCCATTTACTATTATATAATGGTCTTCTTTGTCTCTTCTAACAATCTTTGTCTTAAAATCTATTTTTTCTGAGATCAATATTGCTACTCAAGCTCTTTTTTGATTTCCATTTGCATGGAATATCTTTTTGCAGCCCTTTTCTTTTGGTCTATGTATGTCTTGAACCATAATGTGAGTTTCTTGTAGACAACAGATAAAGGGTTTCTGTTTTTGTTTTTTTTTTCCATTCAGCCAGTCTATGACTCTTAATTGAAGAATTTAATCCATTGATATTCAATGTAATTATCAATATTTCCGTACCTGTTCCTATTGTTAAGTGAGCCATTTTCTTGGTTGTCTTTTATTCTCATAAAAAACTGTCTATCTGACGTTTTAGTTCTCCTGGTATAGTACTCCCTTCAGAACCTCTTGAGGAGCTGGTCTGGAGTTGGTAAATTTCTTCAAATTTTGTTTATCTGAGAATGTTTTTATCTTTTTTCCTATATGAAAGATAATCTTGCCGAGTATAGTATTCTTGGTTAAAAATGTTTTTCATTCAACAGTTTGTCTATATTTCCACATTCTTTCCTTGCCTACATTGTTTCTACCAAGAGATCCAATGTTAGTCTGATGGGGTGACCTTTGTAAGTAACTTGACATTTCCCTCTTGCCAACTTCAGTATCTTGTCTTTGTCTGTTGTTGTTGTCAGTCTGGCTATGGTGTGCCTTGAGGAGGATCTTCTTAGGTTGATTCTACTCAGGTCCTATGTATTTCTTGGGTATGGATATTTGAATGCCTTTCTAGGTTTGGCAAGTTTTCTTCCAGGATTTCATGGAATAAATTATCCAGGCCCTTATTATTTTCTTCCTCTTCTGGGATACCTATTATCTGGATGTTGGGGTGCTTGATGGTATCCAATATTCCTCATATATTATCCTCATTTTTCATGGTTGTTTTCTCAGTCTTCTTGATACTTTTTTCTAGGTCAGATATTTTGTCTTCTACATTAGAGATTCAATCTTCTGCCTTATCTATCCTACTTTTAATCATTTCAAGGGAGATTTTGATTTCCTGTATCACATCCTTTAACCCTAGAAGTTCCATCTGTTTCTTGCTTACGGTATCTATTTCTTCTTTTAAATTATGAAAGGACTGGGACCAGCAGTTAGCGTAATGGCTATGTCGCTGGACTACCACATAGTCGACTGCAGTTTGAGTCCTAGACCTGGCGGCTTAAAACTCATGCCAGGCACATGTGTATGAGTGTCCAAGATCCCAAGAGGAGAATGGAGGAGAAGGGATTGCAGCATGGCCATCCTCCCTGGGGGGTGATTTCTCGCTTTCTGTCTCTCTGTCTTTCTCTGTCTGGCGAGCACACGCGCCCTATAGCAAAAACCTCTCTAAAAAAAATTATGAAAGGACTTCCTCATCTCCTGGAGCTCCTTGTCTCTTTTCTCTTCCATCTCAATTAGTTTAGTCACTACAAATATTCTGAATTCCTTATCAGACATATCCATGATGCCCATTGTATTGACTGTGGGTGATGTAGACTTGATGATTTCCCTTGGGGGAGAGGCTTTTTTGTTGGTTGCTTATACTTCTTGAGCATCTGCGATTTTTCCTAGTCAACAGGTGATCTATATGTTGCTTTCTAACTTATTTAATGTATCTATGAGTTTTAAAAGGTGTATTGGATTAGAAAATTAATGAATTCTTTTATGGTTGGCCTACCTGTTGCTCACCAGTACCATGTACTGTTGTCACTGGTCCTGGGTGACCCAAAGTCCTCCCTGATTCTAAGGAGTGGTGAGCCTCCAACTGACCTAATAAGCAACACCTCAAGAACAAAGATAACTAAAAACAAAAAACTGTTCAAAACATTAAAATTCATAGAGTCCAAAGACAAGTGAGGAAGGACCAGAGGATGAGCAACAAGTTCCGGGCAGAAGAGCCTGCAGCCCCAGGCCGCCTCATGTCCAGAACTGCTGGTCAGCTCGATTCAGTTTGCAGGTGGGGGCGTGCAAGTTCATCTCAAAGTCCCACAGAACAAACCTGAAGTCCAGATATAAGTAGGGATGGAGATGCATGAAGGTCCTGTGCAGAAGGGCCTGCAGTCGCAAACCGCCTGGTAACCAGAACTACTGGTCAGCTTGATCCAGTTTGCAGGTGGCATGAGGGGTGTGAGTTTGTCTTAAAGTCCCATGGAACAAACCTGAAGTCCAGAGATGAGTAGGGGTGGGGATGCACAAAGGTCCCAGGAGGAAGGGACTGCAGCCACAGGTCACCTGGTGTCCCAAGGCAAAATCTTTTTAAAAAAGATTTATATAACAATCATGCTTCACACATGTGTTAATATATGAAAAGCAGTGCTCTATTAACGTCAGAGTGGATTAGCCACATTCTTATCATTCTGCTAGCACATGAGATTTAAGTTAACTCTTTATTGTGTACCTACATATCACATTAGATATTTTAAAATCTAGAACCAAATATTTCCTACACAATCAGATATGAGGACCTAGTATAAATATTCTTGGGAACATAACTTTCAGAATTTTTACCTTGCGAAACCTGCATTGAGATTGTTTTGAATAAAGTGATTACATAAGAGAAAAGAATGACATATGGGATTATTCCAGATATGTATGGGGTACAGTAATTAGGTACATTGGAGATATTTGGCAAATGATACAGAAAGAGGGCTGGCAGGTGACATGATGGTTAAAGCACTGGACTCTCATATGGTTGACCACAGTTCTTGTCCCGGACCTGTGGCTTGCTTTCTCACTATTCCTTTCTCTCTCTCTGTATTCCTGTTCAAATTTTAAAATAATAATAATAAATACAGTTAAATAAATAATTTTTACAAAAATTTAAAAGTAGTAATAATACATAAAGAACAAAGGGAATCACATTAGTTCTTCATTACGAGTCTTTGTAAGGGTGGTCAACAGGTAATGCAGGGGTTAAATTCTGGACTCCCACATGGACTGCAGTTTCGAGTCCTGGAACTAGAGACTTAAAACTCATGTCTGGCATATGTGCATGGTTGCCTCAAATCTTGAGAAAACAATAAAGAATGGATTGCAGTGTGGCCATCTCACCAGGAGTGTTTTCTCACTTACTCTGTCTCTCTGGCAAATGCATGTACCCTATAGCAAAAATCTCTCTCTAAAACAAAACAATGAAAAGAAAACCTAACTAATATTAATATGATAGAGGATTAAATAATACACAGTGTTGAACCATTAAAGGAAATAATTTTCTTCAAAGTGGAGAAAAATAGAGACATCTCATAAAAACAGTTTATAACATATTTGATTATGACTAATAATTCTCTTTCTCTTCAGACTCCTGAATCTGTGCATAGTCACAGCTGTGTTCCTGGACTTCAAAAACTTCCCCAAGAAGGAAGACCTATTTGCTGCTTTACTTGTGCCTTGTGCCCAGAGTCAGGCATTTCAAGTCAAACAAGTATGAAATATGTAAATAGATTCTTAGTCCCTACTATTGCTCAATAAAAATAAAACTGTTACTATTAGAAATAAAACATGGGGGACAGCAGGTGATGTGGCCAACTGTGGTTTAATTCCCAATCCTAAATCTTGAGTCATGCTAGGTGCATGTGCATGTGTGCCCAAAATCTCCAGAGCAGAAAGTAAAAGAAGAGACTGTGGCAAGGCCAACTCCTCTGGATGGTGATTTCTCACTTTGTATCTCTCTGCTGAACACACTTGTCCTATAGCAAAACTCTCTCTCTCTCACATACACACACTACACACACACACACACACACACACACACACACATACAGAGAGAGAGAGAAATGAATCACAGAGCACCACTGTTCTTAATTCACATATTCATTGCTTTGCTATATTTATTTTATAAACTATTACTAACCTATTTTGTGTAAGCTGTTATCTGTCCATGCTCATTCTATTAGGCTCAACTCTGAAATGATTTCCAATGGACACCCTTGCATGTTAGTGCTGGGTAAGACAGTGTCAATCTTAAATCTCATACTGGAGCACATTAATCATGAAAGAGAGATGTGTCATTATCAAGATGACCTGTGGGTGCCTTAAAGTTTGAATCTGACTTTTATACCTAGATGATAAGCACAACATAATAACAGATAAATCATTATAAAAATATTTTAACTTTTTTTGAGTTTTTTTTTTCTATAGGATGTGTGTACTCACCAGAAAGACAAAGAGACAGAAAGCGAGAAATCACCCCCCCCCCCCCAGGGTGAAAGGGCATGCCACAATCCCTTCTCCTCCATTTTCCTCTTGGGATCTTGGGCATGCACACACATGTACCCATTGTGAGTTTACGCCACCAGGGCCTGGACTCGAACCGTGGTTGACTTCACTAGAGTCCAGCAATATAGCCATCATGCCAGCTGCTGGTCCCAAAATATTTAGAACTTTTTCAGCCATGCTCAAACACCTGTGCAATGAAGAACAAAGAATTGACTAATATCAGACTATCACACTTTGAATTATATTACAGGAAGAAAAATAAACATAGCTTAAAGATTGAAGACTCAACAACATTATAATCAATTTCACATTTAGGCACCTCAATATTTGCTGTCATACACAATGTAAAATCAAACAATTGCCAAAATAAAATGTGGTACTGGCAATTGTAAAATCTGGAAAATTATAAGGAATTATGCTTCTATTTTTCCAATATGTAAATATTAAATATGGTTTGAATTCTTCCATAAGTATTATTCAATTTCAGGTATTCTAACAGTAGAAATCATTTTGATTTTCATTACTAATGAAAATTAATATTTATGTTTAGGTTAGAATATGCCCAAGAAAAAACGTTGGGACCAGCAGTTAGCGTAATGGCTATGTCTCTGGACTCCCATGTAGTTGACCACGGTTCACATCCTGGACCCAGTGGCTTAAAACTCACACCGGGCGTGTGTGCATGTGTGCCCAAGATCCCAAGAGGAGAATGGAAGTGAGGAGAATGCAGCATGGCCATCCCCCCTGGGGGATGATTTCTCGGGTTCTGTCTCTCTGTCTCTGTCCGTCTGGCGAGCACATGCGTCCTATAGCAAAAACCTCTTAAAAAATGTTTATTTTCTTGTGAATGAATTGCAAGACTGAATGAATGTGTAAAACATGAAATAAAAATAGAGGTATGGACAAAGCCCATGTCATGGTGGTTAAGGTGAATGAATCACACATGACCCAAATTGTGACTTGAGTCCTCAACCACATGACTTGGAAAATACACCAGGAATTTGTATATTGTGCAAAATAATGATAAGGGGAAACTATAGTGTAGAAGGGATTGTAGCATGACTATTTTACAGAGGTAGTCAGATTAATTAATTAATTAATTAAGTTCTGTCTCAAGTTCTTTCCTTCTCTGGGTATCTCTCTCTAGTGAGTGAATGTGCCTCCCAGCAATTTTTTTCACATGAATAATATGGAGCCAGCACATGGCATGGTGACTAAGGGTGCTGGACTGCCACATGGCTGACTCGGTTCAAGTCTTGGACTGGGTGGCTTGTTTTCTTACTTTCACTCTCTCTGGTTGAGTTAAAAATAATAATGGTATAATAATAATCTGAAAAAAAGATATTTAATGATGATGATGGAGATTTTAATGTCTTTGTATTGACTGATATGCACGATATTCCTTCTGGAAAAAGAAATGTAATACACTGTAAAGTTATATGTGATTCAATTTAATATAAACAAGATTATGACAATAATAAATAAAATTAATAATAATAACAAATTGAATAAGTAATTTTTAATGAATATCTAACAAATTTTTCATGATTCATAAGGTACTGGAATCCCACATAATGACCATGATTTGAGTCCCAGACCTGACTGCTTGCTTTTCCACTTTCCCTCTCTCTTTCAGTGTCTGTCTCTCTGTGCTAAACACAAATGCCCTAGAGCAAATTTTAAAATTAATAATAAATAAAATTAAATAATTATATTAAGAAAGAAAAAGAAAAAAATGAATAGAGAAAGAAAGGGTTTGAGACCAGAAGAAAATAAACATATTCATGTGAGTGCAAAA